ACCGACTTAGTCTTATACATATAGTAATTGTTAAACCTTAATTTTTACATATAGTATAAGGTGTATTTTAAAACTTTTTCAAAATATTAGGTTTATATTTAAATTTCGAAAATTAAATAATTAATTTAAATTTAAAACTAAACCAAATAATTCTCTATTAATTAAACATTCAATTAATAATGTAAGGATTATCTAATAAAATTAATCAAATAATTAATTTAATCCTCACCCCTAAATTTCGAAAAAAAAGGTGTAGGATTTATCTAATTTTATAATTATCCTATTTAATCAGATAAACTAACAATTACCAAAATTAGGAAACCCTAACCACATCTACCATTTTTGAAAATGGCTTGCTTGGGGAGGAAGGTAAGGGATTCAAACCCTTACCTAAAAGTCAAAATTCTTGGGGAGGAGGGTTAGGGTTTCAAAACCCTAACCCTAATTTCGAAACATAGGGGGCAAGATTAGGGTTTCAAAACCCTAACCCTAAAATCGAAATTTCATTCTTTTAGGGTTTAATTTCCATAAACTCTAATTTGATCAATTCAACAATTATAGCAAATTCAATAGAAAACAAGCCATGCACTAATACCACTGATGGCTTTTATGCAAAACAAACAAAATTAAACTCTTAAGTGTGCATGCAACCCTAATGAAGATATATGTTTTCTTTAATGAACCTATAATTAAGAACATCAAAAGGAATCCCTAAGAACACTAGGCTATTTTCAAAAATATCAAACTAGTGTTTAGGATTACATACCTTGATTGTTATTGTAGCAAATAACAATGAACTCCTTCTTGTTGATCTCTTGGAAGCAAGCACCAAATTGTCGTACCTCTAATGGAATCACACCTAAGCTAGCAATAGGATGAATATAGAGAGAGGTGAACGAATAACCAAATTCGTCCAAGGCTTGTAGAGGGAAGGAGTGCACGAAAATGTGAAGGGCTAGGTCCTTTATATAACCGAGGTAGCTTGGTGCCAAAGCTAAGGTTTAAGGGAGAAACCCTAGATTCCCCAGCTTGGTGACCAAGCAGCCCATTCCCCCTTATCCAAAGGGCTTGGACAAAAACTCTTGGGCTTGTCCAAGTGATTTTCGTCCACCTCATCCAATGAGGTCCTTGGGCCTTTCTTCTTCAACTTTCAATAAATAACCAAACAATCCCTGCACTTTTAATTAATATAATTAATTCCAATTAATTTCTGATTAATTATTAAATAAGCAATATGATTTCTAATTAATATATTATTCTCATAATACATTAATAAATCATTTATTTCAATTTATTAATCACATAATAAATTTATCTCTCTCTCTAAAAAGCATCTTGTCTAATTGCTAGGTTTGAGGGCAACCCAAAAGGATTGTGCTACTATCAATTCAAGTTTATACCAATTATACTTTTAAGCTTAGACACCTAATCCAACACTCATGATGTGGCTTTAAGCTGCCACAGCGTGGAGACTGGGGAATCATCGACTGTTTTGGCATTTTCTGTGCACGACGTACGCTAGGAAGGCCACGACGTGGAGGGCTACTCTTGGCAATTTTGACTTTAGATTTGACCATTGACTTTTTAACCAGTTTGACTTTTCGTCAAACTGGGGTAGGATTCAATATCTGTCCAAGGATTGGTTTCAGTTTGGCTGTAGGAAGCTCAGGTTGGCTGTTATGTTGCTGAGGTAGTTGTTGGGCTTCTGTTGAATAGTTTAGGTGAGTCTCTTCACTGTACTCGTGGGTCGAAGGCACCAATGTTGGCCCACTAGATTATGTTGTAGGATGATAATTGTCTTTGTGACACTTGCTGATATGCATGTATGTGCTTATTGTCTTTGTAACTCTTGCGGATATGATTGTATGCTTATATGTAAGGGGTGAAATAGACACGTACCGGTTGAATGATACCAAAGGAGTCGGAAGGGACTCGGGGGTGAAATAGACTTGTACCGGTTGAAAGACACTGAAGGAGTCGGCAAGGACTCAGGGGTGAAATAGACCCGGTTTAGCTTCTAGTTGTTATGTATGTTTAGTATGTGGTATGTTGGGGAACTCACTAAGCTTTGTGCTTAAGGTTTATGTTTAACATGTTTTCAAGTACTTCAGGTTTCAAAAGAAAGGGCCCGACTTTATCGTACTGTATCCCCATGAGATTTATTCCACATTAATTGTTTATGATTTTACTCTGATGTTTTGAGAATACTTTGACTCTGATCTTCTTTTGGAATAATGAATGAATGGTTTTGATTTATTTAAAAATGAAATTTTACTCAGTATTTTTGGGATGTTACAGAACCAACCGCTATTTTCTGTGACAATGAGTTAGCTATTCAGTTAGCTCTTAATATCACATTTCATGAACATACTAAACACAATGAAATCGAATGTCATTTTATTCGTGACAACATTCTTGATAAAACTGGGAAACTTTTACCTATACGAACCACTCACCAACTTTCAGACATGTTCACCAAGCCCTTGCCATGTCATAAACTGCTAACCAATCATGTCCAAGATGGCTTTGCACAATATTTTCCAACATTCATCTTGAGGGGGGTATTGGAAGTCATGTTGACTTTTTGGCCGTTAAGTTCGTTATGTTGTCATCCATCTAATATGTTAAGTTGGGTTTGTTAGAAGCAGTTATATCGGGTAATTAGAAGGTGATCTAACCAGAGTTAGTTAACTTAACTAGTATTAGTTAGCTGTTAGATAATTGGTTAATAGTTAATTAGTATGAGTTTGTGGTTAATAGTTAATTAGTATGAGTTTGTATAAAAGCTTTGTACTTGTATTCATTTTCATGATTCAATACAATGAACAATCTTGTTCTTCTCTCTTTGATTTCAATCTGATAATAGTAAACGAGATACAATCAATCATGTCGTTTTATAATACACCTAGTACCATGTCTAGTTGCATGCTTGTCGTTTCAAATATCCCTGCAACTTGAAAATGGGATTCCAGATTCCCCACAAACGATTCTATATATATGGACATATTCACCGTCTTTGTCGGCGACCTAACATGCAATTTTGATTGAAGTTAGCAATACAACTGGTAACTCCACATGCATCCGGACTAGCTAAGAGTGACGAAAATGGAGGGTGATTGATCGGGATAGAGAGGTAGCCAATGGTGAATGTTGGAGAATCGTGTATTGATCGTAGAAGGAGAGAAGTGAATAAATATGAGGCCCTTTTATTATTTATATATTCTTATTATGTTTTGAACATATTTTAGTTAATAGATTATAAAACACAATCCTTTTATCAAAAAGACTAGTTCACGAAAAACGACAAAATAAAAATATAATACAATAAAAAATCTACGTCATTAAGTTTTTTACAACATGGACGCCACATTAATAAATTAATATAACTTGGGAGGCCATATCAACACATCAACATATTAGTACAACTTGACAAAATATAAATAAATAATAACCACTCAAATGTTATTTGATAATAGCTATAGCGCTCTTTAAATCAGGTCAATCAAAAATAATTTCTTGTTTTAATGATGTCATACGATTGCAATATTTTTATAAACCTTTAATCCGATATCTACCAACGGTCATGACTCATATTTTGTTAATATAAAAAGGTCTAATAAACTTGATGAATAATCAAACATTTATCAAACAACTTTCGTGTTTTCATTTTCATTAAAGGAAAATATCACTTTCATTTCTTAATCTTGCTTACGACTTAAAAACAATCTTTTGACATTTTTACCCTTGATCAAGGACATTAACAAAATAGGTACCTTTGCCAAATTAAGAATAATTTAGGAATATCAAAAAATATAAGTAATTCAAAAACATCAAAATTTACTATATTAAATAAAGGGTCTTCTTTAATTTGGTGGGTTGCTATATATGCACCAAGCAAATTGTTGTGGGGATTAATCCATTTATATATATTTTCATGAATTTATGCACTAAAAATCAAAACTAATTTTGCAAAGGCCAACCTTAATTTGAACATTCCTATTCTAATTTTTCCAAACATGTCTAATTTAACTATAAATAATTACTTTTTTAAAATAAACGGAATTTCAACCAAACTATATCACATGTTTGATTAACGAAAAAGGACTACTACTATACATAAATATGTGACCTATCAAAAAGAATGCATTTAATGTAATAAAGCTTAAAAGTGTGTATACTTTTTTTAAATTATAATTTTTTTTTTAAAAAAAAAAAGTATTAACTGGATTCTTGATAGTCAAAATCATTTTGTGGTTCATTTCGTAGAGGATTAGTTCTTTCTATTTATGATAATTTCATGTGAGCAAGTTTGGAAGGTTGATTCGTCACAAAACATTATAGAGTATTTCCCCATCCAATAGATTTGCAATATTAACAATACACTTTAAATATTTGACATGTCATCGGACGTATAATCAATATACTTATACTTTTTTAAATTGCTATATTCAATATATATTAAATTATTATTGTAAATATAGCTTATATGATTTTGTTTAATATATTAGTTATTATGAAATTAATTTTTTTTGTTAATATTAAGTTGTTCACCAAGTTACACCTTTTTTAGAACGGTTTATACACACCCATAATTTCATTCACACTTAAATCTACATCTTTAATTCACAATTTCATCTACAATAAAACTTGAACCCTCAATATTTGATTGAGAGACATTTATCTATCAAACTCGCACTATTAATTCGTACTAAACAATAATTTATTCGAAGATATTTGATTCACTCATCATGTCACATATTATGTGTAAATTATTTGTGGTTAAGTACCTTCAATTTTTACAACATAATGTGATTTATGTACCTTTAATTTTCACAAAAAATAATCCGAAAACTAAAACTATGGTCATAAAAAATTAAAAACACTAAATGTCAAAAACATAAACAACATTGATTACCAACCACTTGAATATAATAAAATCACTAAATGTATTGAATAATATCATATAACTTTTAAGAAAAAAAAAACATATAGTATAACTAACTGCCTCATAATCAATCACAAAAATAAGTAATACTTGTCTTATTTCTTCATTTTTCGTCAAATCTTCATCATGTATAAACACTGTCTCAACTCAAGATCACCCTGTTTCAAGATTTCAACATCACAAAGCAATCATCATAATTAAATTCTTGTTCCCAATTATTGATTTCAATAATTCCAGAAACCATCCAAATCAATTGGTCCAACTGAAGTTGATGGGGTTTCTTGATCTTCAATTCCAATATTACCCTTCTCAAGATTCGAGATGTTCTTCCCGAAGCTCACCCCTGTTTCCTGTGATCCTGTAAATATATCTCTTTCTATCTTCAATCCATGACTGTAGGTCTCGATTAAACCCCTCAATATCGCCTGATCATGAACTGGAAATGAAGTAACAGAAGGGAATTGGTGCATAAGAGGATCAGATTGGCCTTCGAGTAATGGAATGGAACTGGAATCGAATGGAAAAATTGAAGTGTTGATGAAACTATTAATCATGGTTTTCTGGGTTGTTTGAATATCGACTTGATTGGAGAAGCAGGGTACGTGTAGTGAATCGGATATACATGGATTGATGTTCCTTCCACCAAACGCCACCGGAGAGTCCATCAATGGTGGCAGCGACCTGGTAACACCGCCGGAATCCATCCGCATCAGCCCAGAAATGGGGATTTTCTTCCCGCCTGAAGTCTTATGAAAAACACGACATATAACCCATTCATTCTGCATTTCCAATTACAAAGAATCACGATAAAAAACAGAGTAACAAACAAGGGAGAATTAGGAATTAAGAATCTATACCTTGGCTGCTTTTGGCAAATTTTGCAGACTGAATTTTCCCTCTAATCTATATTCATGAATCACCCAATTTGTTTTTTCCCCTTTTGGAGCTCTTCCCATGTAGAAAACCAAAGTCTTCTTCATTCCGACGAGCAATCTTCCTCTGTAAATCTCCTTATCTTTTCCGGTGGCTTTCCAGTAACCGGCGGCGGTTGCTCTGTTTGTTCGTAATCCGGTGGGGTACTTCTTATCCCTAAAACAGAAAAAGTACCACTCCTTTTCGCCCATTTTCGCCATCGCTTCAGAATCCAAAACCAAAAACCTTGATTGAATATAACTCGAAAAGATAACAAGATAGGTAAAAACTAAAAAGATTAGAGAACTTACTAGGTAACTCCCATGGCTCAATTCTGTTCATGTCGACTTCTCCGATTGCTTTAGCAAAGAAGGTGCTATCGAGAACTTTGTTAGAGAGGTAATGAGTGATGAGTTCTTCATCTGTAGGATGAAATCGGAATCCTGGAGGCATATCCATTTGATCATCTTCTTGAGCAGGATCACAGAGCTTCTCCATCTTCTAAAACCCTTGAAAACTTTTGACGAAAAATCACTTTCTAAGCAAAGATTTCATATGGGTTTTTCGTCAAATAGCTTGCTTTATCTGTTTTTCAAGGTTGAATGGATATAAATAGGAGTAGACTGGTGAAAGAAAGCTATGGGAAAGGAAATCATTGAAGAAGTAGAAAAAAGGCAGCCATGACAGAAAAGTAAAACCAAGAGATAGTGTAAGCTGAAAGATTCAGATGTTTTAAGGAAAAAAAAGAAACAGAATGAACAACTCAAGGCCTTAAATGCTTATTTGGGGTGGGGAGGGTAGATCAGGAATTTTACCAATTTTTTCTATAACTTAATTAAGATGAATTTAATTACATGAATGAACATTTTGACTAAATTCAGCCAATCTTTTAAACCAAATTACATGTATTAATGTATTATACTATTATGCATATGACTTAGATGATGTGAATGAAACCTAAAATTGACACCATATTATTGTTTGTATGTATTAGAAGCTCGTACATTAATTGTGTAAAGAAAATAAAATTAAAATATGTGTGGGACTAAAATTTATTGATTTAGGTCAAAAGGCATCACCAATCCATCCTAAATTTTTATTTTTTTTTCTATTTTATTTATTTATTTTTCTTATCTAATTCTTTTTCATCCCCATCCTATTTTTATTTAAGTTTTGATATATGAATAATATTACCTCAAATACGATGAACACTATTTATTTCTTTAAAAATAAAAATTACGTTTCGGTTGTTGATTTTAGTTATTCTTTTTAATTTTTGATAGTTAGTTTAATTTTATCTAATAGTTATAATTTAAATGTAATATTTTATATTTGTAGCTTCTTGTTTTATATTATATTAATTAATCTTAAATGTAAAGTTTATTTTTATTAACCGAATTCATATAACAATTTAAATACATATTAAAATTTTGAAACACAGTAAAATATTTATAAAATATTATAATTAAAATTGATCTTATAAATAATAACATATGCTAATAAAAATGTGGTTAACCTGTATATTATAATAGTAATCTAATAAAAACCCAGAGATCATCTCGCTTTTGGAAAAAGGAAGTACTATATGACATAATAATTACATGTATTATTTTATATAAACTTATAATTAACTAGGAATGTAACATGGGTTGGAGTTTATTTGAATATTGTTGTCGGGGAGCCAAATCGTGTTTCGGAAAAAAAAATTCATAATATTCGAATACATTTGAAATACATAAGGTTGATGGAAATGCAACATTTGACTGAATGCAAAATTCATTAACTACATGGAAAACATTAAAAGAAGTGGGTAAGAACGGATTACATGAGGATAAGCAAAAGATTATATGGAACTACATATGCGTAAACAAAAGACATAAGTTGTAAAGGAACTCCAATCTATTCGTCGGGAATGTTCTTCATAAGGCATCTGAGCGAGGATATTGTCGCGTTTAGTTCTTCACACATGGAAGAGATTTTACTTTCAATTTGCGGTATCATTGTACTTCAAGTTTATACAACCAAGAAACCATGTAATGGGGATTTGGAATTTGGGATTTCAATAATACAAAATCATTAGCTGTTGATTTTTGGGGGAAACGAAACTCTTATCTTCAATAATAAGCAGCGGTAGAAAAGACGAATCTAGTATAAGAAACACCACTATATTGAAGAATACAAAAAAAAAAAAATTAAAAACCTCACACACAAACATAGTGAATATGCAAAACATTTCACCAATATTTGTAGGTATTAAAGAGAAAAACCAAGGGGTGATTGTGGAAATACCTAATTAATGTCAATGGTTTGAAGGTCTTACCCACAAACACCCTTTCTTTTGTATAACTTTTGTCTACCATACAATTTGTTCAAAATAAAAACAAATTCAAACATTTGACATATGTTTTCACCTTCATGTACGTTCTTCTGATATCAAAACATGAGCTCTAATATGAAAATATTGTTTTTCAAACTGTCACTTTCTTTAAATGGGTAAACAATGATAATTACTTTTAATATAGTCATAATAAGCTATATCCAATACCCCAGACAATTATATGAAGTCGATATTATCTGTATTACTTGAATTTGGTAAGTTTCATATTTATCCTCTTTATCTAAAAAGTTTGCAAGTTTTGTCCTCAAGCTAGTAAGCGGGGCGTACAGGGTGGTAGGCTTAGCGTACTAGCCCGATGATGATTGTGCCTTTGGTCCACGTACGTTGGGCGTACATTGTGTACGTATGGTGTACGTGTGGTTAATGAAACCCTAATTTCTAGGGTATTGCACCCTATTTAAGCCTTATGATAGCCCTATTTTGTCATGTTTAGAAATCCTCCATCTCCCCTTTGTCCAGAAATCGAAACCCTAGTGAGTTCTTGAGAGTTTTGAGCCATAAGGTGTGTTTGTTGGTGCTTTGTGAAGGAGAAGAAGAACTGGACAATTTGGATTTGTGCTTAGAGATTTAGGATCCGAGATTAGTTCATCATTTGCTAACCTTTTGAGGTAAAAAGCTCCAATCTTGTTAATCTATGATGCCAGATCTAGTTGTGTGTCCTTTGTGCTTTTTGAGTCCTTGGAGTGGTTCTTGAGCCTCTTGATTTACTCCAGAAGTGATTGATGGTAGATCTAGGGTTCTTTTGGTCACTTTGTCCATAAAAATGCAAGCTTTGAGGTCTTTATGGACTCATGCATGTGTTAAGACCCTTTGTTAAGTTCTTTTGAGCTATAAAACCCCTTTAAGCCATGCATGCACGTAAAGTTGCCAACTTTACGTGATAAGTCATCTTAAGGAAGTCAGATCTGAGAGTTTGGTTGAAGTCTTAATTGATGGGTTTTATGCAAAAGAACATCTTATGTGCTCATACAAACCCTAATGCTTGGATCTAGGTTTCTCTATTGTACATGCAATTCATCCAACACTCAAGAACCCTAATCTAGCATATGTACTTCGAAATTAACATATAAGAATAGATCTAGATGATTATCTCTTCAAGAATGGCTTGAATCTTCTTGTCTTGGAGCTTAGAGTCACAAGTGTCACTCCTCTAATGGCTTACAAACACCACAAGCAAGAGGATGGACAAAGAGAGAGGGAGGAGGCACCAAAAACGTTCTAGGGTTCTTCCAAAAGAGTTAGCCACGTTTTTGGGGCCTTAGGGGTCTTTATATAGTGAGGCTATTAGGGTTATGACAGGAAACCCTAATTTGACTGCTTAGGCTCCAAGCAGCCCATGGACTCCCATTAGAACACCCCTTGGACGAATTCCTTATGGGCTTCCTATAGAATTCGTCCAACTTATGTTCCAAGGTGATCCATAGCCCAATTGCATTTATCTTATAATTACAATTCCAGTCCCCTAAGTTTAATTAATCTCTTTTAACCACAAAACTAATTCTTAATTAATTCTTGACTAATATTAATTAAACAATATGATTTCTCCTTTAATATATTATTCTTATAATATATTAATAAATAATAATTAATCCTTTTTCTCCTTAATTCATCCTATCAGTTGCTATGGTGAAGGCAACCCAAAAGGACCATGCATAACCGGGTCAAGTACATACCAAATATAGTTATGGGCTTATACACTAATCCAACAGTCTCCCACTTGGATAAGTCTGGTAACTATACTGCATGTACAACCCAATTAGCAATCGTAGATCTCAAAGTGGCTGTCGAACTCTGATCTTATCAGTAACCTGTCCTTTAGATAAGGGATCATATATTCCTCCATTCTAGATATCGTATGAACTGAGACATGGATTTTAATCATACTCTCTGTTCATGTGTTGTTTCCCGATTTTCGATTTATGATGACTGACAACAGACTACAATTGAACACATCAACTTAGTCTCGGCTTGGCCAAGCGCTTAGGTGTCATCACTAAATCATCGAGGGGCCCACAGATATCGCTTTTATCCCACTTTGGGTAAAAGGAACGGATAAACTTCGACTCCAATGCTCGCTTGTACCTAATCATCAAATCACACACAACAATATGTTTTATAACACCAAGTTACTAGTGCGTTTACATATTATCAATGTGCAACCGACTTGTAGAATACAACTCACACGTCTCGGTTTCAAGAATATAAGATATTATCGTCTCACCAATCACTCGTGATAAAATACATGAAGCGATCCAAGTGAGCGTGGGTTTAATCCAATGCTCAAATCTTAATTCATAAGCACTCATGAACGTTGTAGCAAACTTTTTCTATGTCTAATACACTTTAGACATTCTACAAGCCAATTCACAACAATCTTCTTTCATACACACTTCCAAAATATGAACGACTGTGGAACGTTTGAATAATCTTATTATTCGGGAAGTCAAAACATGCAAAGTGAAACACAAGAATAATCGAATCCAATATGGCCCCAAACTTTTGAGTATAAATAAAACTCCTTTTATTTAGTCACCATATTGATTACACATTATTTATTGTATAATGTTTCGGATAATCAACTTATTACTTGAATTATAACAACAATTGTCCCATGCACCAAGCATGCACACTCTGTTTACCTATGGTCCTTACTTTGTGAAACATATCAATTGAAAACATTTCTAATGATGCTCATTTCACAATCCCCAATCCTTATCGTTAGTGTAAGAACACAAAATTCTCGCAACTAGTATAATATGTTAGATTCTAACATTTTATGCAATGATCCTTTTGTAATCTTATTGCACAAAAGTCACCAAGACTTTGCCAATGAAATTACAAAGTTCTCTATTGGAGATTGCTACAAGGCAATTCCATTGATATGAAGTCTCACATTCAAATTACATTCCTTTGAATATCCTTCTTGCATAAAAGTTTCTAATCTAGACATGGATTCTCTATATCCAACTCCCAATATGGAAATATTTCCATATTTGCCATATGACAACTCATTATTAATAGAATCATAGCTATTCATAATAATGTCATTGTGATCCATTCATTACTATACTTCCAACTGCTCACAAGCGACCAATCCTTAGCGAACCTTAGATTATCCTTGACAGTTGTTTAATTATTTTAGTCAAATCCGGTTCTAGTCCTTTTCCCCTCTTAATTCCCTAGGCATTTGGAAAATATTAGAACGGTCAAATATTACAGCATATGCAATCGGTCCTATACTAGAAGCGTATGGGATACGATTCATAATGTCTTACATAAAAGCATGATACTTTATCAGCCATTTGCCATAATATTTTTATTTGTCACATTCTCACAATTCGAACTATGAAGAGGGATGCCGTAATCATAATCGAATTTTGAGAACGCAATTAATATGTCCTTGACTAAATTTGATTAAAATTTCTCGATCTAAGCTTTTAGAT